TTATATCAATACCTTTATTTGCATCATAATATCAGCTGTGTGGCACAGAATATTAATTTCTATCATTTGCAACAAAGTCATTCAAGCCAGTGACGCGACTTTACACATGTTAATTTCAAATATGTCTTACAGTTAGTAGCTATTCATGGCAGTTGTAGAATGAAGTAATTGTTGCATCTAGCTTCGATATAAAAATAAAATTGTTTAGGAACGATAGCAAAAAACAATCTCACAATAAAAATGTAAATTGAATGAGCGACGGAAAAAAATCTTCCTTGGAATCCCAATTCCCGAAAATTTTTAATGTAGTATTGGATAATGTTATAGGAGGGCTTACAGTTTTTTTTAGCGCCACAAAATAGATTTCTGAAACCTTCAGCTTTCTTTGGAACTACTCAAAAAAGTCAAAGGAGAAATTAATACATGAAGCAGCTAATTTTGCGAAAAAATATTTTAAAGATATTGTCAGTGAAGACTTTGTGCATGAAATAAAACACATAACAATGTTTCACAAAGCCAATATTGGGACAAAAAATTTTGGTGCGCTGTAAATATTAAATGCTTTGGCAGAGTGCAAATTTCTATTATTTATAGATTTTCTATAGACTCTTCTGTGTGATAAAATTTGAAAATTTTTTTAAAAATCTTTTTATTTGAATTATATTATCATATATATGTATATATAAATATATATATATATAAATATATATGTATATATATATATATATATATATATATATATATATATATATATATATATATATATATATATATATATATATATATATATATATATATGTATGCATAACAAGCAGAGGGGGAAGGGTAAAAAATATTCGGGGGAGAAAAGCCCAAAAAGATAATTGCACCAGCACATTTTTATTCTCTCCATGGCCCTGGTTGCAAAACAAAGAGGTTTAAAAAAATTAATTTGGTTATTAATTAATAACTTTTATTTATATATAATTAAATATTAAAGTGCTTTAAAGATATTATTTTTTTGTATTATATTTTATTAGGAATATTTTATCCGCATTAATGTATTTAATCAAAAATATATATTGTCTATATATACAGTGACGCTCAAAAGTCAGTTGACATTTAAAAAAAGTGAATATTTAGGCATTATTTTATGAATGAGAAGATATTTATGGGTAGAAAGTATTTAGTTTAATAGAAAACAAAAAGAATGTTTGAAATAAAAATAGAACAGCAGTCGATTAACGTTAAAACGATAAAAAATTAGGTAAAGTTTAAACAAAACAGTTTTGTTATTTTGGTGCAAACGCAATCCATTTAATATTTTGTTAGTCCGCCTTTAGCATTGATGACTGTGATGCAAGCGTTTTGGGATCGAAAGTACTAATTTTTAAATGAAATTAACGTCAATTTCTTCCCAATGACGTTTGATTGTTGTAAACACGTCATTTTTTGACTTTCTTTCGTTTTGAGGAATAGTTCTATCCAAGTATTCTCATATATTTTCGATTATATTTAAATCTGGCGATGGAGAAGTCAATCGAAATTAAAAATTTCATGATCAGCGAACCAATCTTTGACAACCTATGCTGTATGCTTTGGATCATTATCCTTTTAGCCAGATAAAATCGTCCTCGATCCTTAATTTTGCCGCAGAAACAAAGACGATTCGCTGTACAATGTCGAGATAAACTTTTTTGGTCATTTTACCATTGATCAACTCAATAATATTAGGGCCGTTCCATGAAATAGAGCCCCACAGCATCACCGACCCATCACCATACTTAACTGTTGGTGATACCTACAGTCAAGTATGGTGGTGGGTCGGTGATGCTGTGGGGCTCTATTTTGCATTAAAAACTCCTCATTCTTTTTTCTGAAAACTGTTTTTCTTTTCTTTGTCGATTGGAGTTCAAACTTGCATTTGTCTGTCCTAATTGTAGATTTCCAGACTTCGACAACTTTATGTGCATTTTAGCAAACGCCAGCCTCTTTCTTCGATTATTTATAGAGATGAATGGTTTTTTTCGCATCGCTCTACCGTATAATCCAACATCATTGAGACGTCTTCTAATTGTTTGAAGACTAATTGCCAAATTTAATTCGTTTTTAAGTTCTATTGAACTCATGTTTGACGTTTCAACCAATGTTCTAACGATCAGTCTATCATCTCTTGCAGTTGTCTTCCTTGGTCGACCTGATCTGATTGAATTTTTTTTACCGTTTTTCGCTGGTTCATTTGCCTAACAATCATCCTTACATCTTCTGCACTCAATCCAAATATCTTTGCTACTTCTCTCAATGACTTTCCTTCCTCCTTAATTAAACGATAAATTTCAATCCTGGTATCAGTCGAAGTTTCACGATGTGCCATCTCAAAAAAGTTTATTTCGTCAATATGCTGTTCAAAACAAATAGTGACATTTAAAATTCTTATTTAAAATATTATTTAACTTAATTAAGCCATTATTTTGCTTATTTCATTGACTTACCGGTGATTATATATTAAAATAACACTTGTCAACAGACTTTTGGATTTAGCCAAATTTATAAATCGTGATATATTAACTTATCTATTTACATTTTTTGCTAATTTTGTAATATTTTTAAAAAGTAACTGTATCTCGAAGGGAATTTTGCAATATTTTGCTTTTCTTTTTGGTTTTTGATCGCGATACAGCAAATTTTTAACAAAATATACGCCTGTCAACTCACTTTTGAGCGTCACTGTATATTGTCTATATATATATATATATATATATATATATATATATATATATATATATATATATATATATATATATATATATATATATATATATATATATATATATATATATATATATATATATATATATATATATATATATATATTGTCATTAATGTATTTAATCAAAAATATATATTGTCACAACTGTTGTTAAAAGACTTCTGTTTCCGATTTTCTTTTCTTTATTCAAAAGACTGATAAAAATACAGAGCACTTAACTTAAACAATCGAACTTTTACTTATGATTTCCTCGTAATTTATAATATAAAGTTTATATTTATAATTTTTATTACGTGATCTTCTTCAAAATTTAAAGTTACTAAACTAATAAGATATAAATCGTGAGCATTCTTGCTGGCTAAAATGTAAAAATCTTAATAATAATAAAAAATCTTCCCAGTGGTAATGAGCTTGCGACTAGTGAGTGATTAGCTAGCTTTATTGCAATTTTCAAGCAAATTTTTTTTTTCTTGTTTTATTTTATCCTAATGTCTCTAACATCTTTAAAAATTTGATTTTTAGTGTTCTGTCTATAATAATAACGAGAATAATTGAACTATAAATAATTCGATTTTGTAGCAATGTGTCGCTAGCTAAATAACGTAGCTTTGTAGCTAGCTATAAAAGGCCGGGTGAATAAAAATGAGCAATTGCTTTTACTTAGAAATTGGTCAGCTTTACGTGAATAAAAACTTTAGCAAAATTACTTAAGTTTTTATTCACGTAATGCTGACCAATTACTGAGTAAAAGCTATTGCTCATTTTTATTGGAAAACACTAAATCCAATCCTTCAAAGTGCAATCTAAATTTTACTGACCGATGCGATCTCCAACGGAAATATAGTTGTACTTTAAAATAAAAGAAACTCTGAGATTTTTAATAACATTTGATAACATTTGTATTTAATATTTATTATTAATCATGTTATTGGTAATAATATTTTTGTTTAATATCAATTTGACAACATTTATATCACATCGCAAATGCCGTAATCGGGTCTAGAATTTTAAAAAATTATTCAAACAGCACTTTGACGGATTGGATTTAACGTTTCCCATTTTTATTCACCCGGGCTAACATATCAACAAATCAATAGCTGGTTGATAGCTACATATCAAAATTTTTTAAACAGCGATTTTCTTACGATATGACGCTAACTACAACAACCAGTGGGTGTTTAGCTTATTAGTCTTTACCTTTTCAAATAGCGATAGCTTTTCGCTAACTTAAAAAAGCTAGCGATCCTCGTGTCCAAATCGCTGTCTTTATTGTCTGTCTTTATTGTTAGCTATTCGCTAGCCGATTTCCCACCAAGTATGCCCTCATTTAATAATTTCGAAGCATTTCAACTTACATTCATATACAATAACATTTAAATTCTGTTTTATGCGAAGTTTTTTTATGTATACTTTTACGCAATCTTCCCTTATTTATTTTTTTTTAGATTTTATTAACGTTTTTAATTGTTTTTCAAGTGCGCAATTTTATCATTTTTTTATCATTTAATTTACACTACAACCATATAACTTATTTAATAAATAAATATTCAAAAAAACAAAGATTTAAAGCCTTCATTATATACCTTGATAAATAAAATAAAAAATTAACTTGATTTATAACTGTTAATAAGTTGCGAATATTAATACATTCGTAAAAACTAGTTTTATTGGGAAAATTTTTTTTGCTTATTGAAGAAAAGTAATTTAGTTCCGTCAAAGTTTTAAAATACATTTTGAATTCAAACAAAAAATATACTGATGTGTAATTTTAAAAATTAAAAGTGTAAGAAAATATTTTTAAAATGTAAATCTGCCGTCTCTCTCCTTAGATTCTTCATAACCTTCATATGTAACAGATATGATTTATTATTTTGTAAAAGTCTTTTTCATTTCTGTTATAAATTAAAAAAAATAGTTCGTCCAAGTCTCCCGTTTAGTTTTTTTTATCTTTTATTAAGTTTATATTTCAAAACAACGTTAATATCTCAAAACAACGTTTATATCTCAAAACAACGCAAAACATACAAACGGCATAAACTGAGATTTTTTTTAATAGCGAACAAAGTATATGATGTTAAGTTTTAATTAATTTAATTTATTTGTTCTGCGCAACTGTTCAACATAATGTCTAAATTTAGCGTTTGTTGTTTTGCTTGAGTGAACACACCCCCGTTTATTGCCGTGTTTCAAAATAAGGTATGAGAGATTTATTTACTGTTCATTAAATATTCAGAATGTTCGTTGCTGTTTGATTTATAAAACCTCAAATCAAACTGTTTCCTTTCAGTTCTCCGGTGAATAGCGGTTTATAGTAATTAAGGTTTCAAATTAGCTTTAAAAAAAACAAAAATTTGATTATCTGGTGCGGTTTATAATTGTTTGCAATTTGTTTGCTAATTGTTTGCAATTTATTTGAATTTGAAAAAAAGAAAAGTTAAAACAATTTTAGGAAAAGCAAAATCTACATTGGTGAGCATGTTTTTGAATTTAAATTTTGTCTTTTTATATATTATATATATATTTAAATAACTATTTGCGTTCTTTACCTCGTAAAATTCAAAAATATAAAAAACTAAAAAAGTATTAATGCAGTTCCTAAAAAAGGTCAGCACTACGCTACCTTATAAAAGAGGTCCGTACTACGCTACCTTATATTGATTGTTGATTGCACCAATTATCATTAGTTAGTATTTTAAAAATGTCATCCGCCTAATACTTAGATATGCTAACTTTATACTTTTTTTTGCATTTTTATGTGAATCACCAAATAAAATCATAGATAAGAGGGCCCAACAAGAGAGAGGGGACAAGTGGGTCCGAAGCTTTCTTAAAACTTATCTTACTTATTGGTGTCCATTAGGATTATAAAATACTTAGAACTTAACGTTCCTATAGCTTAGTTTGATAACTCTTTTTGCAGAAGATATAAAATTCCTGCATCATATTGATTGTCTGTTTTGCACACCGATTACTTCTTGGTACTTTGATTACAGATGGTTTAAGTGGTTCTTCAAAAATTGCAATGGTTTTTTGTATGGGTTTACTGTATTTTTTTTTTTGCTATACTTATGAAAAGCTTTTAAAGTCATTTTCATTGAACCAATAGCATGCCCAATCAAGTGAAATAAATCTGCAAGCATTCTCCAAACTCATCTTGGAAGTAGGTATAAAAAAGAATTCAAGAACTGCTAAAATGGCTATAGAATTTACCTTACATTACTGATACTCGGAATTTTTTGAAGGTTGATTAATTAGAAATTATTAAACCAGATTTATTAAGAAATTCTTCCGTTCCAAAAATCGATATGGCTATTACATGTAGCGCGCATAAATTTTCTTAAATTTTTTTATTGCGTAGTAAGTTTTTTGGAAATTTTTGCTTTGCGTTTATATGTGCTTTCCATTTCTGCCGAACACTTTTCGAAAGTGGTTTAAATTGAATGAATTGGCTTGCCACGAGGCAAAACTATTAGCTACATTTACTTGGAACCATGTTGCTTGTTTTGTTATAAGTTTTGTATGAAAATATCAAACTGTATGAAAATATCAAACTTTATAATTTGAAATAAATTATACAAAGTTTTTCAAAACTTCCAAATAATTTACGGAGATAACAGTCTCACCTCATTTTAAATTTAATTATTTATTTATTTAAAACTTTATTTCCAGTTGATTGTTTACAATAGTTTTATAATCAACAAAAACTTATTAAAATCAACACACTAAACAGTATAAGGCAATACAAACAAACATACATATCGTGAATAAAAAATAAATAAAATAAATAAAAATAAAAATAGCTTACATAGTAAATAATATAAATGTCAATAAATACAGCAAGTTGGTTATTTTCGACATAAAAAATAAAAAATAAAAAAAGTTATTTTTGACAGATTTGACAAATGCAAGATTTTCCGTGTCACTTTATAATACTTTATTTGTAATTTTTAGTAATACTAAATACGTAATACTTTTTTTGAACTTCTTTAGACAATTTATTGACATAGTTTCATTGTCTAGGGAATTCCAAAGCGAGGTTGCTCTATGTAAGTTACTTTCTATAAACTTATATTTAGAGACTATGGGTAGGAGTACTAATTTTTTACTACATCGAAGACTTAACGGCAGGGATTTTTTGATAAAAAGATCTAACATAAAATCTGGATTTGAACCATTTATAGATTTAAAAACTTCAGTTAACAAAAACCTTAAATTTTCTAAGGTGGATATTTGGAATATTTTCTATTTTTTGAATTTCTTCTAATAGAAGATCAAATCTTTTATAGACAATGCGAAGTCCTTTTTGATGAATTTTATTAATTAGGTTATTATTATACTTCGAACAAAACATCCAAATCAAAGAACAATAGGAAAAATATGACAGTATAAAAGCGTTGAATAAAACAGTAGCTTGTTTTACTGATAAGAAGCTCCTTCTTTGTGAAAGAGCAAAGCATTTACTTTTCGCTTTTCCACACAGACTTTTAATATGATCATCAAATTTCAAATCCTTATCAATCGTAACCCCGAGAAGTTTAACCTTAGAGGAAACCATGATTTTTACATTTCCAACCATTTTTATGGCATTAATCAAAATTGATCTTTACAATTTTTTAATCCAGCTAAATAAAATTGAAATTTGTCCGGATTTGCAACCATTTTATTTAAAGTAAAGCATGAAATCGCGTTTGATGTTTCTATTTAAAGACGAGCAATAACACTCTCTAGGTTGTTGTCACAAACAGAAGAGTGTTTTCATCAGCATAGTTGTATATTTCAAAGTCTTTTATAAATAAGAAAAATTTTTGATTAAAATATTAAAGAAAATTGGTCCCTAAATTGAGCCTTGAGGTACACTAGATTCCATATCTAAATATTCAGAAAATGACGATCCTAGTTTTACCCTCTGTTTGCGAGCAGAAAAGTAAGATAATAAGAGTTTGAGGCTATCGTAAGAAAACCCATAACCTTCCAACTTAGCTATAAGCAAATCATGTGGAATTGAATTATATGCCTTCAATAAATCCATAAGCATAGCGCCAACTTTACCTCCTTTATCCAAGCATTCTTGCCACTTATTAACTAAATTAAAAAGTGCGTGCTGTGCACTATACCCTCTCCGAAATCCACACAGCAATTTGTTAAAGTTTGGCTCTATTTACGGAGATGACAGTCTCACCTCATTTGAAAAAATGGTGTATATTAGCACTATCGTTGGCATCCCGAATCATAACTGATGAACGTTATGACCAATGGAACTTCAACTTATTTCAGTTCAACTCAGGGGCGTCAAAAGCATTTTTTGGTCTTTGAGATGGTAGCAGGAAAAAATCCCCCGGGAAAAAATTCCCCCGGAAAAAATCCCCCCCGAATACATCCCCCGAGTAAAATTCCCCCCGAGAAAAAATCCCCCTGAGGAAAAATCCCCCCGAAAAATATCCCCCCGAAAAATTTTTTTTTTTTTTAAATTATCAATAAAATAGTTATATTTACTTATTTCAAATAGTTTTATAAATTACTTCATTTTTCATCAAAATGTAAAGTTATGCGCTATTCCTCGGTTATCGGTAAAATTTGAACTGCGCACCGCGAGCTGCGAACTGGTAAAATGCGAGCTTTTTTGCGAAACAAAACATTATATTTTAAAGACCATTATTTTTATAATAAAAATAATAATAAAAAAAACTCTCCAATTCTTAATATTCTATTTTAAAGCTTTATTTAAAATAAAATTTTTATTTTTTAACTGTAAAACATGCGCGGAATGTTGCTACATCAACTATCTTTTAGCCTGACTCGCAACGGAGTGCTGCTACATCGACTGACAAATAGCCTGACTCGCAACGGAGTGCTGCTACAGTGACTGAAGGTTTGGTTACGGCAGGCAGTCTATCAAATAATTTTAAAAAATGTATATATTTTCATATTGTTTTCGTCTAGTTTCATTTAATTTCCTTTTATTTTTTTTTTTAAATAATTTTTTCGCTTAAAAGTCCTTTAAATATACCGCCAAATTAACTACGATGGTTCGCAAAAAAGTTCACATTTTACCATTTCGCAGTTTGTCAGAGTTAGGGTTAGGATTTCACATTCGCTACCTTCGAGGAATAGCGCATAACTTGACATTTTGATCAAAAATGAAGTATTTTATATAAATATTTAAAATAAATAAACAAATAATCATAACTGCATATTTATAACTTTTACGTCAAAAATTTTTTTTTTATTTTCAAAGAGGGATATTTTGCGGGGGGATTTTTTCTCGGGGGGAATTTTTCCAGGGGGATTTTTTCTCGGAAGATTATTTTGGGGGGATTTTTTCCGGGGGGATTTTTTCCCGAGGGATTTTTCCTAGAAACTTTGATATAGCTAATTTTCAGAAATGGAGCAAACTCCAAACATTTATATGTTTATACTTATGTCAAATAAAGATGCTTTGCAAAAAATTGCAATAAACCTGGGAGTAAAAAAGCTCCAAAATTTTGTCTCCCCTGCCCAAAAGTGAAAGCTACAAGTTGATGGAATATTTTTTGTACTATTTTTAACTAGACTTATATTCAAAAATTATTCAAAAATTATTATGTTCAAAAATTATGACAATATAAAATTTGCAAACCCCTCAAATTGATTTTTAACTTAAACTTTATATGGTCATAATTTTTGAACGCTAAAATATTTTACTATGAAATTTAAAATTTATCGATGAATTCAAGTCTAGTTAAAAATAGTACAAAAAATATTTCATCAACTTGTTGCTCCCACGTTTGGAGCAGGAGGGACAAGATTTTTGGGCTTTTTTGTTCCAAGTTCTAATCATTGCAAAGCACCCTTATTTGACATAAGTATAAACATATAAATGTTTCGAGTTTGCTCCATGTCTGGAAGTTAGCTATCTCAAAGACCAAAAAATGCTTTTGGCACCCCTGAGTTGAACTGGAATAAGTTGAAGTTTCATTGGTTGAATCAAATTTCTATTGATTGCATCAAGGAAAAATTCTATTGGTTGAATCAATTCTAATATGATTAAGTTGAATAATGCATAAATAATAAAGTTAAAAATAATGTTTTAAGCTTTTTTAGGTCATTGCTATACTTCTTAAAATCTGAAAAACATCTCATGAGAAATTCCAATCTACGATAAAGATCACAATTAGAAAGACTTATCAACCTCACAACAAATGGGGAGCAACCTACCACAAGACCCAATCAAAATATCAGTTAATTTTATACAACCTAAAATGACATTAGAATTTTTGAAATAGAGCACAAGATAATCAGACTTGTTACCACGTTTTGATTGATGCCTTTAACATTTTTGTATGATAAAACTTGATAAATGCCTCCATAAACATTAAATCAAAGTTTAGCTCTATAGTTTGTGGTTTTGAAACTTTGTTTAAATATTGATGCCAAACTAACTATTTCAGCATTTGACAAACCTGTGTTAAATATTAATGCCAAACTAACTA